TCACAAGCCTAACCTGTAAAGTAGCACACTGGAATTTCCTTTTCATTGCATCAGACACTGTTATGTCTATCTTCGGGCCATAAAATGCACCGTCTCCTTCGTTCAACTGCAGAAAACAGCACACGTAAAGTATGAAATGCATACTTTGTGAACAATAAGATTGAGTAGAAAGCATGAGAAGTAGTACACATACAAGAAATGGCTTCCCAAAATCTTCTAGTGCTTGTTCAAGGTCATTTTCAGCTCTATTCCATGTTTCCAAATCTCCAAGGTACTTCTCTGGCCTCTGAAATTTAAAACAACATGAAAAGAATGGGCTACAGGACCATAAGTCATCCAAAACGCGTATGCAGAGGAAAAAATCTGCCAATATCTTACCGTTGAAAGCTTTAGCTCATAGGTAAACCCAAATCTTGTGTAAACATAGTCAAAAAATTCCAATACACCTTTCACTTCTTCTCTAACCTGCAAATAGATAGAATACTTAAAACAAGAAATTGGGAGGATAAAGAACCTCCAACGTTGGTGATAAGACAAACCTGATCCTTTGTACAGAATATATGTGCATCATCCTGAAAAACAATTATGCGAATGTTAAAGCAATGCAACATGCAAAGGTCCAAAAGGAAATTTGACAAGTAAGCAATTCTTCACTTGAGCATGGCAAATAGGCTCTAATGTTAATGCCGGAGTGCAGGAATTTTTCCTGTTCTAATTAGAACTAAGTAGAAGTTTTAGCTATTCAGGAATATATCTGCTCTTAGTCAGCTCCTAAGAGCATGTTTATCCGTGAGTTTTATAGAGGTTCATGAGCCAAAAAAAATAAAATATTAATTTTTGGCTGAAAAATGGCTTGAGACGTTTCAGTGGGCTGATACAACTGAAACGGTTCTTTGGGGACAGGTGTTGAGTTCTGAGTGGAGCAAGGTTTGGCCGAGACCCAAAAATGAAAGAAAAAAATTTCATTTCATTTCGTTTTTCTTCTTCTTCTCTGCATTTGAGGCGACGAGAAAGGTCCATTAATGGAGATCGAAGTCGACGTCGCCGATGGAGAAGCCTCGACGAAGTCAGAGATCTGAGCGCAATCGAAGCCGGAGATCTGAGATTGCCTCCTTGTTCGTTCGGCGTCTTGCTGCAGACGGAGAAGCTTCGACGGGATCCTAATCTCGTCTCTTGTCAAAGGTATTCCTTGGGTTTGTGATTTATGGATACTGTCTTGTCTTCGATTCC